ATATACCATATACACTGAGACATAGAGACACTTCTCGGCGTATACATTCTTGGCCACAGTTGAGAATTTCCCTCACTTAAGGCCTCTTCCGGAGCCATGTTGGCCAAAGAGGCCCCATAGTCTCGAGGTGTCATCGCCGTCTAAACGAAACGATACACACACCATTCCGCCAGGAGCTTCCTCAGAGCAGCATTCCATCTTCCCAGCATAATGGATGAAAGTACATTAATGTATTTATTTATAATTAATAAAAATCCACAAGTCATCTATCCAGCCATAGCTGTGGATTTTTATAAAAAAATTAAAAACTCAACATTCATAATTTTCCTTTCAGTTCAGTTGTTGCTGAGTCGAAGCCAAATGTGATTTTTCTTTTACGAACTCACCCAGCAAAAAGAGTCGATCGGCAAAGATATCAGTTCATTTTCCTCAGTGCTTCACACGGAGAGTGCTGGAGCGCTGGTGAATGGAGGATACGAGGGAAGGAAATACCTGAGAGTAGTATTGCAACACTGGCGGTAGAACATAGTGGAGTGAAAGTCTGGACCAGGAGTGTGATTCAGGCTTAAGCTGTGTGGGATTACCTCATGGGGGGGGGGTGACTGAAGCTTAATAAACTGTGTGGTTATTTCAAAGAGTTTAGCTGACGGTCAAATGGTTTGGTTTGAATGCAGAGTCCAACTGTGACAAAGCTCCACGCAGAGCGAAACGTTGTCGTAATGAAAGTTGACTCTGCAACATGCATCTGCACTACTGTCGGCAGTACAACATGTACATCACTACTAGTCTACTGTAAAACACTCATGAGTGTGAAGTGTCATTACGACTTAGTTTGTGCATCAGTCAACAACATTTTAATATAGGAATTGAAGCGAACTATACAGAGATATACACTTAGGACCTAGATTAATAGGCCTAATTTACAAGTACATTAATACCACTGATAAATGGTGTGGTAGGCTGGTTTACAGTGACGTGGCTATATATATATATTCGTATTTGCTTTTCAATTTTTGAAATGAGGACAGGTGCGTCCTTTCATTCCTCCGCCCGGAGCTACGGTTATCCATACATCGAGAGTTATACATCTCTCTGCCAGGCATTATTCTCGTGCATCAGACTGACTGGAGAGTAACCCAGACACTGTATGAACCAAGATACATGTATTAAAAATATACCCGAATATGGACAATGTTTAGCTCTAAGTAGCCAGGTTATATACATACGTGTATTCCGTATGTCTCCGTGTATATACGTATATACGTATGTCTCCCGTATGCCTGCGTGTATATATATATAAGCGTATTCCGTATGTCTCCGTATATATACGCTGAAAGTTTACTTTTAACCACTATCTTAGGGATTAAGGTATTTATAACTGGGGGTGAACAGTTTTCATACGGCCTTAATGACCCTCGTGTAGTCGATAGGCTTCAAACCCAATTAACCAAACAACCTCAACTATTTAATTAAAACTTCTTCAAGTTAGAGCTTGAGTTTTCAAGCGAACTTAAACTTCTTCAAGTCATAACTTGAAGAAGTTATACTTAGAGCGAAACGTAGTTCGTCTGGAAGCTTCTTCAACATACTTGTGTCTTTCAAAGGAGGTTCCTTGAGGCTGGTGAAGGGTTCTTGATACAAGGAGTTGGAACTGTCTTTCCCTTCTATTTGTGAAACCTGATTGTTTTCCGTTCCACCAGGCACTATATAACCCTAACGGGTTTAGCACTTCTCTCTAAACATATCACTCTATAAAGACTGTTTTTTACAGCTGTTGCTCTTTTGATATATATATATATATATATATATATATATATATATATATATATATATATATATATATATATATATATATATTATATATATATATAATATATATATATATATATATATATATATATTTATATATATTATATATATATATATTGTTAGGATACATTTCAAAATCAAGTGTACAAATCAGTAAATTATTATTAAGATGTATATAATAAATAATAAATAAATAACAATATAAGTAACATAAGTGTTAAGAACATTTGTTTAAGAAGATGTTGTGTTTCAATACACGTGAACACCAGTATTCAACACATGCTGAGAGCTGCGACTTATGGAGTTTGTATTCTATCTCGCCCAACACTTACACCTTCCACAAGACCCGTCTTCATCACACTAATAGAGTTGCCTCTGGGCTCACTCGTCATGGCTTTGGTCAGAACATTGAAGACCTGCAATAAGCTACTAGAGTGCTCGGTTCCTGACGACGCTGTCTTCAGGTTCCTCCCACTTCTTCACCGCCTTCGCCAGGGCGTCCAACACATTTGTCAAAGGTTCAAGTGAGCGACTGTTTGGAGAGATCATGATTATTGAGTATGATGCAAGACTCGTTTATTCTGCAGGTTATTTATGACTATGAACTGTCCTGATTGGGCTCTTCTTATCATTCACTTACAAAAAGCATATTGCATTTACTGAATTAAATAAAAAGAATTTTTATTAGTAAGTTTTTTATACATATTACTTAAGATTCATTTATACTCTAAAAATAATTTAAATTGAATATTGTGTTAATAATTAACACAATGAGGGGTGACTCAGTCTCACCTTCCACGGAGAGTGTTAGCAAGACCCAGATCCCTGCTGTCCCAGGCGTCGGCGGCAGAGGACAAGAGACTCCTGCCGAAGGGAATGAATGGTTTGGCGAAGAGGTTGATGAGGAAGAGAATGCCAACCACCACCACCACCAGGAGACTACCTGTCTTAATATCCAGCTGACCCACCCACTGCTTCAGGTCGAAATTGTTGAGACTTTCCTGCAGCTGGTACATGAAAGGAGCGAGTGCGTTGGCTGCCATGGTAACTGTAAGTAAAATTTGTACTTAACCCACTCAAATTTACTTAATTTGCCTCAACTTATCACTGATATATACGCACATTAGGAAAGAGAGGATGCTCGGTATGGTAGGCAAAATATTCCTCACTCAGTGTCACAGGTTACAAGAGACAACGTCGCTCTTACTTCAGTGTATAAGATGAGCCGAGGAGTGAGCTGGAGACTACTGGCTGAGTGCTGCTGACTGACTGATACTTGTTGCTCCATGCTACACCTTATATACCGCTAAGGAAAAGAAAGGCAGGGATTCCCACAGCGGGTGGACCGGATGTTATATGCGGATGCGGGTGTCCTGACCTGAAAGAGTTCAGGGGATATGGTTAGTAAAAACAAATATAGGATTAATTTAAAAAATGAATTACAGCTTTTTGATGAACTTCGATTTCAATCTGATTGGCAGAAATTGTTGTTAACACTAATATAAAATGTCAAGCACCATAATATATTTCAAATATATATACACCGGGGGGCAAATGTGCGGACTAATAGTCTCAGAGAAGTTAATACAAAGAGTTCAACGACAAATGCTGAGATTTCTCCTCGAAGCTGTATGAACATTCTGCTACTCTTACCTCCCAATTTTTTATACTTAGACGCATATTCAGAAGAGTATGTCTTCCTTGATGTGTATATTCACTGAGAGCTGAAGTATGTTCAGAGAGGAGTACACATGTGTATCTCAATACAAACGCGCTTAGACATCATTTTTTTTTTCATATATTAAATCTTAAAGTATCCTTGAATGGTGATTTATGTGTCATGCAACCTCATTAACCCTCGTATAGCCGATAAGCTGTAAACCTAATAAATCAGGCAGTCAACCAGTAAATTATATTCAAGAAATACCTGTCATGAATCTTTTTGGGCTGAACCTCAAACACCTCAGTGCAACAGCAAAGGAGAAGTTTGTTTTGTATAAATACATTGTTAAACATGCGAGGATTTATTTGCATTGTGACTGCTGACTCCTGAATTACCACTGGAGTCAGTAGAGCCAATCACAGCTCCTCGAGGCTGACTGCAAGGAGAGTCCAAGTGACTTGAGGAAGACTCGTGTTAAGGCAGAAGGTCAGAGGATGTAAATGTGTGTCAACATTACTGAGGATGAGTAGTGTCTGATGCCTCAGCAAGTTACAGGCTATCCAGACAGTGCTATTGTTATTATGTGTTATGACAGCACTGCTATTGTTATAATATGTGCCATGACGACATTGCTAACAACAGTGCTGTTGCTATTATAAGCACCATAGTAATAGTGAAAGAACTGCTATAAGGAATTTATCAAGTACTTTCCTGAAGATGGAGAGATGGGAATCAGGGAAGGTGGGGTAGTATTGTGGAGAAATGATGACAAGAGTGAAGGCTGGGTGAATGCAGGGACAGGAATGAACGTTGGGTGGATGTAGGGACAAGAGTGAAGGATGGGTGAAAATAGGGACAGGAGTGAACGTTGGGTGGATGTAGGGACAGTAGGAAGAGAGAAGAGGGATAGAACAAGACCTAGGATTATTTACCTCAGACAGGCTTGTAGTAATTGTAAATGTAAATGGTACTGTGTGTAATTATATTTTTTTAGTAATGTAATTGAACTTTTAGATTAAAAGTAATTATAACTGAGTGTTGTCAAGCTTATACCTGTTTAAATTACATCATAAAACTGGGGTACTATGATGGGCTAATGACAAAATGAAATTGCACATCAAATAGTAAATAAATGTACATTCTGATGTAATTCTCGTTGTTTGAGTCACGTCCAGTACTGCAGAGAGTCATGTCTGTATGGACTATGTGAATGGACTGTCTGGACTCCTCCCTCTGTCATAGTCCACACTAGTTGAAGAATAGACATGTTTCTTGTTATATTTCATAATTTTGATGATATGGATATCCTGTTGAGGTGTTTTATAAATTAGTTGGTTCTCAAGTTATTTGTTGCAATATTTTATACAGTTTTAAGTGAGGGCGAGGAAGGAGAGTGAACAACGAAAGAGGGTAATAGAAAAAAGGCTACTCCACCATTATTATCATTTTCTCTACCTGCTTTTAAATTATAGTTTTCACCACTGTAATAAGAGTGATATTACTAAACAACGTAGCCTGATTCATGAAAATTAATTATGTAAGGGTGTGTGGGGAAGGCCAGTGAGGCAATAGTATGTTGTTCAAGTGTCACATATTTACAGAATGATAGTCAGTTCACTCAGCTGGACTGTGCTTGTGAGAAACTTTTGCTACTCCATTTACACAGTAGGTTTTTCTTAATGGCAGGCTGGAGCTTGGACTGAAGTACTTGAGCCTCCGTTAAGAAGAGTCAGTCAGGTGGGGAGAGAAACGTAGCTAAGTACAGGAGTTATGATTGAAGCTTCTCTGAAGGCTGCTTCAAAGCTCACCACACACTGTAAACGTTGAAAATAATATAATGCAAAATATCAAGTAATTGTAATTAGAAATCTGGCAGTGTAATTGAAACTGTAACTGACTTTGAATCCTGTATTTCCTCCAAGCCTGACCCCAGAGGTCAGTGACCCAAGAGACCCCAACACTGTGGCATTTTCCTATTAGGGTCCTGTTTAGGTCCATCCCCAGGGTCGTGACACCTGCGGCCCGGTCCCACACCGGAGCTTCCTATAAATATGAAAACCGCGAAATAGAAAAGGGGAATTAATGACTATACTCAGGCTGTTTTCCCCGTAGTGATACTATTCTAAAGTATTATCAAAAGGAAGTTTTAACCGTGAAAAAAATTACTTCCTTTTTTTATTCAAATTAGTCCATGTGTTGCGTATTAAAGATTCAAGAACACGATGTAATTAATACAAATTCTATTGTGTTTACATATGAGTCACATAATTACATAAACCATATCGTTTCTATAATTTACCAGACACACTTCACTCACAGGTAAAACTTTATACCACGAGAGGTATATATATCTCAGTATATATACCGAGGGTTTAATTTTATTTTTGACTGGTGATGAACGGGTCACATGTATCTTTAATGGTCATCGTGTAGTAGATATAATTAATTTAATTGACCATCCAGTCACACATATATTCTCTTGCACTGACAGTAACAGTCAATATTCCCTTAAAACTTATTTATTGTTTTTGCACGTGAAGTCACAGAGTGAGCGTCCACCATATTGCCGGTCAGTCATCTGTCACATAAGACTGCGTCTATCTCTTGTCAGTCGTGACAAAACAGTATTTATTTCAGTGATTCTGAAATGCCAGAGGCTTGCTGTGCTTTGGGTCGTTCTGACAGAAAGAAGGAGCGTCATTCTGTTGCATTCCCGTCTAGAAAGATCATCGGAGAGAGATGCTAGTAGTGCTCACTGGACATGGTGCCAACACACTGCACAAGACTATGTAATAACTATGGTGCCAACACACACAATACAAGACTGTGGTTCCAATACTACACAAGGCTGTGTAGTAAATATTTCATCTCAGGCAATTATTTAGTAATCACTCATGTTTACCATAAAACAAATTTCATAAATTTTCTGCCTATTCATAGGGTAAGCACATCCATCCATCCATCAAAAATTGCAGCAACCAGGAACACTGCAGGATCCAAGTTGAATTAACAAACACGTTAAACAAAAATAGTCAAAACTTCATGCCAATTTACCAATTAATTTATGTCAAACTCTGTTGTGTCAAGAAATAGTCATACTGGATGATTTTTCTTAAATTTGGTAGCTTAAGAACAGCCAAGAATAATTCTGAGGGCTTCGTTTTGCATCAATTTAAAGGGTCAGAGATTATTTTCTTTAGCTAACATTTACATGGACTCAGCATAACCAATTAATGATGTAGTATAGGCTATGCACGGCATTCTCCCTATTCTTACAGTAGTACCATAGTTATGGTTTTAGCCAGCAACGGCTCTCAGAGCATTTAGCCTATCTCTGACTTTCTTATTTGGTTGTGACATGGATTTACACAAGGCCGCGTCTACACCAAGATATGCGTAAAATTTAACGTAGCTGATGTTTTCTCCCTGCCAATAGATGGGTGTGACATGTCGTTTACTTGAAATATCTTAGTCTCAGATGAAGATATGATGAGACCTAGTTGATTACATATTACCTGGACATCATTAAGAATAGTACTAATCTTCTTTTGCCTTGTTATGCGGATCAAGATGTCATCAGCATAGCTTATAATTACATAAACTCAAGATAAGTCGCAATGAACTAGTCAAGTGGATGAGGTAGGTAGATCATTTAAAAGAGCATTAATTCAATACATTAAATAGCAACGGACTGAGAACTCCTCCCTGGTGTGTACGCACTTTGAAACATGTCCCGCATCTAAAACCTTAGTAGGGAACACAGGATACTTTATTTGACAGATAACCTTTTATCCAATTCAGGAGGTTATCACCAATACTCATTCTGGCTAGTTCATGCAGGATAAAAGTTCTCTTTGTGATATCAACTGCAAATTTCAGAAAAAGAAATGTGATAAAACTAATGTAAGTGTGTGTAGTGACTGAGGTAGACATGCATTCTCAACACTTCCACAAAGATGAGGTGACAGTTGGCATCTGATTCTTCAGTAAAGTCTACTAAGAATTAGTCTTCCAAATGTTTTGCAAAGACAACTAGTCACTGAGACTGGTCTAAATGTATCAAGCTGTTGCGGTTTAAGAATAAGTTCCATGTGACTAGTGGTCCAAGAATTAGGGAGGACACACTCAGTGTAACTAAGATTATTCAATGCTAATGTGTATCAGGTACTATGTAAGGATGGGTGGCATTAATGTGTATTGCGTGCCATGTAAAAATGAGTGGCACTAATGTGTATTGCGTGCCATGTTAAGATGGGTGGCACTAGTGACAGGTTAAGTACCCACGTTCAACGATCTCCTTCATCATTTAATTAACTAACACAACATTTATACGAGTAGAGAAACGCTCAATACACGTTGAAGTTCAGTTGCAAGGCAACACGTGACAGTATCCTGGCTGTCAGGTCAATAATACACTAAAGAATCACAAACTATCTTTATTTTAACACTCTTAACTTTCTTACGGGGTTTCCAGCGTCAAAACCTTAACTTTTTATATCCTAACTCCACATGTATTTTGTTATAACTTCAGCTGGGTTAGGTAAGGTCAGGCTAACATACACTAACCTCTGTATCTGCAAAATTACCCAACAATAACGAAATTTAAATAAAAGAAATAGTGGCTTACGTCAGCGCGTTTCATGCACTCGTCACTATGCGTGCATTGTGCCACGCACGGCTGCTTCTAGCGATGGTATAACCAGTCACTGATATACCACCTTATACATCCACCAAATTTTATGAAGAATATATTCTTACATTAAGGAAGACAAAAATGAATAACTTTTAATATTTCTTATATTTAATAAATAAAAAATCCTGAATGTTATATAAATGAATGTCTATATATACAGTGTATATACACTGGAAGGTGTATTTTTCACGTATACACACAGAAAGATATACTTCATGGTGTATATACACCAGGTGGTATACTTCATGGCGTATATACACAGAAGGTATTCTTCACGGTGTATATACACACATAGAGGTATTGTATATACATTTAAAGTTTATTTCTTAACATTGTTGGGAATTAAGAATAAGGGACGTTATAAACGTCAATGAGTAGACCAGCAGCTGATCACACAGTGCAACAGCTGATCACGCAACACAACAGCTGATCACAGTGCAGCAGATGATCACGCAACACAATAGCTGATCACAGTGCAGCAGTTAATTACTCAACGCAACAGCTGACCACACAGTGCAACAGTTCATCACACAGTGCAACAGCTGATCACACAACACAACAGCTGATCACACAACACAACAGCTGATCACGCAACACAACAGCTATTCACACAGCGCAACAGCTGATCACATTGTGCAACAGCTGATTATACAGTGTAACAGCTGGCCACACAGTGCATCAGCTGATCATACAGTGCAACATTTTATCGCGCAACACATTAGCTGATCACTCTGGGCAACAGCTGACCGGGTAAGGTGACTCGTTGCTCTGACACATCCAATTCTTCCGCGGTCTCCGCAAGACCCGCCTTCACTACGCTGACAGAGAGCTGTCTCCACCTTCGCGCTACATCACTCCTCATAATACTGTAAACGGAAGAGCTGCAATAAGCTACTAGAGTGCTCGGTTCCTGACGACGCTGTCTTCAGGTTCCTCCCACTTCTTCACCGCCTTCGCCAGGGCGTCCAACACATTTGTCAAAGGTTCAAGTGAGCGACTGTTGGGAGAGATCATGATTATTGAGAATGATGCAAGACTCGTTTATTCTGCAGGTTATTTATGACTATGAACTGTCCAGATTGAGCTCTGCTTATCATTCGCTTAGAAAATCATATTGCATTTACTGAATTAAATAAAAAAATATTTTTCATTAGTAAGTTTTTATACATATTACTTAAGATACATTTACACTCTAAAAATAATTTAAATTGAATATTACGTAGTGAATTACATTAATAATGAATTAACACAATGAGGGGTGACTCAGTCTCACCTTCCACGGAGAGTGTTAGCAAGACCCAGGTCCCTGCTGTCCCAGGCGTCGGCGGCGGAGGACAAGAGACTCCTGCCGAAGGGAATGAATGGTTTGGCGAAGAGGTTGATGAGGAAGAGAATGCCAACCACCACCACCACCAGGAGACTACCTGTCTTAATATCCAGCTGACCCACCCACTGCTTCAGGTCGAAATTGTTGAGACTTTCCTGCAGCTGGTACATGAAAGGGGCGAGAGCGTTGGCTGCCATGGTAACTGTAAGTAAAATTTGTACTTAACTCACTCAAATTTACTTTAATTTGCTTCAACTTATCACTGATATATACGCACATTAGGAAAGGGAAGATGTTCAGTATTGTAGGCAAAAATGTTCCTCACTCATTGTCACAGGTTTCAAGAGACAACGTCGTTCTTACCTCAGTATATAAGATGAGTCGAGGAGTGAGCTGGAGACTACTGGCTGAGTGCTGCTGACTGACTGATACTTGTTGCTCCATGCTACGCCTTATATACCACTAAGGAAAAGAAAGGCAGGGATTCCCACAGCGGGTGGACCGGATGTTAGATGGACGAGGATGTCCTGACCTGACGGAGTGCTGGGGATATGGTTAGTAACCTAGATTATATTCTCAGTAATTACAAACGATGTTTATTATAATAAATTACAATACCTGTATCGAAACAATTTATAACCAACCCACAATGGAAATGATAACGTTTCTATTCATTTTGAAGTCTTATCAAGACCAGGATGAAGCGAGATGTTTAACAGGTTTTGTATAAATTTGCAGATGAATTGTAAAGTTGTAAGAATATATAAAAAATATGTCTGCGTTTTGTAACTCTGGTGAATATTCAGTACTTTATATTTTGTTGTTTTATGCATGAATAACCACTGAACCCCTGGAGTTAAACTTATTAATTTTCAGGAGCGCCTCGAATGGAATGAAAAATAAAACAATAAGTGATATGAACTTAAGAAAATAAATAGTCACAATATGGTGAGTGAAACAATACACAAGTAACCCACAATCAGTAGTTTGAAACTTATGGCTGCGCTTAGGTCCGACTTGTGCTGTTAACAAGTCTGTGTGGCTAATGTTCCAAGTTAGACCGAAACATCGTCACAAGTTTCGGTCTCCTAAGCGCAGGTTAGTTGTGTGTACGAACTGCGCCACTGAACGACAAGAGATAAATTAATGGCAATCAGATCTTAAGTGACGAAAAAAATTGTCTACGGTGTTTACTGAGAAAACTGAAGTGGAAAAAGCGAGGATTATTCGTCTCTTTGTGTTACTTGTTTGTCTTGTGTTTCCTTTCCCTACGTGTATTTGTCCCCATGTACCAGGTGTGTTTGTCCCCTTGTCCCTGGTATGATTGTGTTTGTTCCTTTGTTCCTCGTATATGTTACCTTGTCAAAAGTTTATTTGTCCCCTTGTCCCACATGCTTGTTACCTTGTCATTCGTTGTCGTGTATTTGTTCCTCGTGTATTTGTTCCTCGTGTATTTGTTCCTCGTGTATTTGTCACCTTGTTCCTCGTGTATTTGTTAACTATTGTTTAATTCGGCATCGAAATTGTTTCGGTAGTTATACAAGTCGAAATGCCTCAAAGAAAAGGAGTTGTGTATCTCAAAGACAACACAATAAGTGTCAGGGGTCCAAGACTATTCATCTGCCTGGCTGTCTTCAAGGCAATGCCTGACCAGCCGGGCTGTGGTTCGTACGTCGGGTTGCGTGTGACCAACAGTACAGCCTGGTTAATCAGCCTCTGATCCACCACTAGGCTGAGCCGCGGGAGCGTTGACCCCCCGAAACCCTCTCCATATATACTCCAGGTATCTCAGTGAGTTTACACAGAGATATACAGCTGAAGTTGTATCCTTATATTAATGTTATACAATACGCACAGGTAGATGAACCACAGTGTATATCACAGTGTATATCACAGTGTATATCACAGTGTATATCACAGTGTATATCACAGTGTATATCACAGTGTATATCACAGTGTGTATCACAGTGTGTATCACAGTGTATATCACAGTGTGTATCACAGTGTATATCGCAGTGTATATCACAGTGTATATCACAGTGTGTATCACAGTGTATATCACAGTGTATATCACAGTGTATATCACAGTGTATATCACAGTGTATATCAAAGTGTATATCACAGTGTATATCACAGTGTGTATCACAGTGTATATCACAGTGTATATCACAGTGTATATCACAGTGTGTATCACAGTGTATATCACAGTGTATATCACAGTGTATATCACAGTGTGTATCACAGTGTATATCACAGTGTATATCACAGTGTATATCACAGTGTGTATCACAGTGTATACCACAGTGTATATCACAGTGTGTATCACAGTGTGTATCACAGTGTGTATCACAGTGTATATCACAGTGTGTATCACAGTGTATATCGCAGTGTATATCACAGTGTATATCACAGTGTGTATCACAGTGTATATCACAGTGTATATCACAGTGTATATCACAGTGTGTATCACAGTGTGTATCACAGTGTATATCACAGTGTATATCACAGTGTATATCACAGTGTGTATCACAGTGTGTATCACAGTGTATATCACAGTGTATATCACAGTGTATATCACAGTGTGTATCACAGTGTGTATCACAGTGTATATCACACTGTGTATCACAGTGTGTATCACAGTGTATTTCACAGTGTATATCACAGTGTATATCACAGTGTGTATCACAGTGTATAGCACAGTGTATAGCACAGTGTATATCACAGTGTATATCACAGTGTATATCACAGTGTGTATCACAGTGTATATCACAGTGTGTATCACAGTGTATATCACAGTGTATATCACAGTGTATATCACAGTGTGTATCACAGTGTATATCACAGTGTATATCACAGTGTGTATCACAGTGTATATCACACTGTGATACACAGTGTATATCACAGTGTATATCACAGTGTATATCACAGTGTGTATCAGTGTATATCACAGTGTATATCACAGTGTATATCACAGTGTATATCACAGTGTATATCACAGTGTGTATCAGTGTATATCACAGTGTATATCACAGTGTATATCACAGTGTATATCACAGTGTGTATCACAGTGTACATCACAGTGTATATCACAGTGTATATCACAGTGTATATCACAGTGTAAATACACTGAGATTAAAAACAAGGTAGAGTGTTGTATTACTGTTCCTAGTAGACGATAGTCTATTAAGGTTAACACCTAACCTAACCTAACCTAACCTAACCTAACCTAACCTAACCTAGACTTACCTAACCTAGTCTTGTGTACGAATGGTATATAATAACGACAAGATGAGATTAAGACACATGTGCAACATCTGGGTATCTTTATTGTAGACGTTTCGCCATCCAGTGGCTTTATCAATACAAATTCTAGGACAACTTGAAGACAGTAGAACTATGTACAGAAGATGAGGTAATCAGTCCCTCAACCTAGGAGTAGGTGCGAAGAGCACCATAATCGTGGAGATTCAGAATCTCCACGATTATGGTGCTCTTCGCACCTACTCCTAGGTTGAGGGACTGATTACCTCATCTTCTGTACATAGTTCTACTGTCTTCAAGTTATGTCCTAGAATTTGTATTGATAAAGCCACTGGATGGCGAAACGTCTACAATAAAGATACCCAGATGTTGCACATGTGTCTTAATCTAACCTAGTCTTACCTAACCTAGACTTACCTAACCTAGGCTTACCTAACCTAGTCTTACCTAACCTAACCTAGACTTACCTACCCTAGTCTTACCTAACCTAGACTTACCTAGCCTAACCTAACCTAACCTAGACTTACCTAACCTAGTCTTACCTAACCTAGACTTACCTAACCTAGCATTACCTAACCTAGACTTACCTAACCTAGACTTACCTAACCTAGACTTACCTAACCTAACCTAACGTAGCCTTGAGTGAACAATAAAATGGTATAAAATACCGACAGGTTGTTAGGTAAGACACATATGTAACAGTTAGGTATCTTTATTTCGAAACGTTTCGCCTACACAGTAGGCTTCTTCAGTCGAGTACAGAAAAGTTGATAGAAGCAGAAGATACTTGAAGACGATGTAATCAGTCCATCACCCTTGAAGTTTTGAGGTGGTCAGTCCCTCAGTCTGGAGAAGAGCATTGTTCCATAGAAGCCTACTGTGTAGGCGAAACGTTTCGAAATAAAGATACCTAACTGTTGCATATGTGTCTTACCTAACAACCTGTCGGTATTTTATACCATTTTAATGTTCACTCTGTCAGACACTGCAACACAAGGGTATCTTGGTACAGACCTGAAATCAACTTTGTCAGCTTCTACTAGTGAGAATGGCTGGATTTGAGAGGGACCTGACCTTCCAACGACTACATTCTTACCTCTACTAGTGACCTACATCTCACCTCCTGGCGGTATATAAGGCTCCATCCTGTCACTTCAACTTCATATTGTTTCAGACTATGGAACAATACTCTTCTCCAGACTGAAGGACTGACCACCTCAAAACTTCAAGGGTGATGGACTGATTACATCGTCTTCAAGTATCTTCTGCTTCTATCAACTTTTCTGTACTCGACTGAAGAAGCCTACTGTGTAGGCGAAACGTTTCGAAATAAAGATACCTAACTCTTACATATGTGTCTTACCTAACTAACCTAGCCTTACCTAACCTAACCCAACCTAACATAGACTTACCTAACCTAGCCTTACTTAACCTAGCTTTACCTAACCTAACCTAACCTAACCTAACCTAACCTAACCTAGACTTACCTAACCTAGACTTACCTAACCTAGACTTACCTAAACTAGCCTTACCTAGCCTAGTCTTACCTAACCTAGTCTTACCTAACCTAGCCTTACCTAACCTAGTCTTACCTAACCTAGACTTACCTAACCTAGCCTTACCTAACCTAACCTAACCTAACCTAACCTAACATAACCTAACCTAGACTTACCTAACCTAGACTTACCTAACCTAGCCTTACCTAACCTAGTCTTACCTAACCTAGCCTTACCTAACTCAACCTTACCTAACCTAACCTACTTTATGTTATTATAACTTGAGCTGAGGCTAACCTAACTTAATGCAGATGCAGATTTTAACAGAGGTATATGTGTTTTATATAACCCTGGCAGTAGGTCTATATAACCCTGGCAGTAGGTCTATATAACCCTAGCATTAGATCTATATAACCATGGCAGTAGATCTATATAACCATGGCAGTAGATCTATGTAACCCTGGCAGTAGGTCTATATAACCCTGGTAGTAGGTCTATGTAACCATGGCAGTAGATCTATATAACCCGGCAGTAGGTCTATATAACCATGGCAGTAGGTCTATATAACCCTGGCAATAGGTCTACATAACCCTGATAGTAGGCCTATATAACCATGGCAGTAGATCTATGTATCCCTGGCAGTAGGTCTATATAACCCTGGCAGTAGGTCTATATAACCCTGGCAGTAGATCTATAAAACCCTGGCAGTAGGTCTATATAACCCTGGCAGTAAGCCTATATAACCCTGGCA